CTAACAACTGTTAAAATCCGATCACGGCGGTCCTCAAGGGCGAATAGGTTGACCAAAAATGTAGCCAAAAACTTTTCGCTACATCTAATTGTACTCCACTTAGGCTCTCTAAAACCATTTTTAGGTAAATTGTAGCTGATCGAAAACTTTTTTTTTTTAGATTTTATAGAAAATCCTGTAATTTTATTATTTTTTTTGTTACATTTTTTGTTATATCAAAAATATGTGTAATTTTGGTTACACTCGAATAAAAATCTCATCCTTTGATCTTTTCAAAAACAGGTAACTACTTTTACACAACATGAAACATTAATAACTAAACCTACAAATGACAAGAAGAAAAATCTACTACTGCTTTTCTCAAACTTAAACCATAGCTTGCATTGTCCAAACAATTAATTTTATATTTTTCCCAGGTAAGTTCTATATAAAGCAACATTTGAAGTACCATTTCTTGATTCATTAATATAAGAAAAACAGTAGGGACAACAGACAACAGAATTGTGCTTACTGCAATTGTGGAATATTCCTTTACGAACTTTTTTCAAGCATTTACCAAATGTTCTAAAGTTAGCTTTTTTATTCTTCCATTTAGGATTTTTGCGTGTTGGTTTGTGACCTTTAAAACTGGCAATGGTACATAGTCGACAGCTACATGGTGACATGTGAGTCTCGTTCTTGGATATAGCACAATTTTGTCAAAACCCGGTTCTTTTTTGGGAAGAGGTCTTTTTAAGATATTCTGTCTCCTATCGTATAAAGACAAACGACAATTGCCACATACTGCATTGGGATAATTTAAAGCAGTGTTTTCTTCATGATTATCTTAGTGGCGGCTGGTGGATTTTTGGCACACCTATATCTCAGTTTTTAGACATGGGACCCACATCAAATTTATATGAGTGTAAAATGACATTATATACAAATTTAAATTGAAGTTTGTGAAAAAAAGTTAGTTTTTAAGTGTGCCCCCCCAGCCTCCTGCCCCCCAAATTAAGATAATTTAAATTAAAGTGGTGCAATTTATAATTCACTACAGTTTATCAACAAATTTCAAAATTTATTAAAAAAGTCCAAGTATTACATATTTTATATAATTTCTATTTTTTTAAATTTAAAAATAGAATTAATTAAAAATTTAAAATGGTATAAAATCTGTAATACTCGGACTTTTTAAATAAATTTTGAAATTTGTTGATAAACTATAGTAAATTACAAATTGCATATGGGTAATTCCACGTTACTCGGGGATTTTTGTCCCGCCCGTCACAATTAAAAATTGGTTATAAGCACAATAAAAATAATATTATAAAATATTAATTTTATTACTTGTGGTTTTTACTCACAATTTTTAATTGTGACGGGCGGGACACAAATTACCGAGTAACGTGGAATGCCCCATATGGGTACCATGTCTAATAACTGAGATATTGGTTTACCCAAAATCCACCAGCCATCACAAATACTTTTTGCATTATTACTTTTAACTTAAAACACTACTTTAAATATCACAACAAGCACAAACATCTAAATAAAACTTATATTCTTTGTTCAATAATAATTGACGTGTTGTCATAATAATATACTTTGTTTTATTAGATTTCATGGCACCCTTTGGTAATTGTAACATTATATTGTATTTCACAGTAGTCTTAGCCTACCTACTTTTTTATTAATTTTTTTTTGCAGTACGGATGAAAATTTGATACTTAACTATGATTTTAATTAATAAATACTACTAAATGTTATTTAGAAGATTAAAGAATGTGATTTTCAATAAGATAATGATTAAAATTACACAAACTTTTGATATAAAAAAAATTTAACCAAAAAAACTACCAAAATTCCATTATTTTCTAAAAAATTAACTTTTCGATCAGCTGCGATTTACCCAAAAATAGTTTAAGAGAGCCTAAGTGGAGTACAATTGGATGTAGTAAATATTTTTTGGCTACATTTTTGGTCAACCTATTCACTCTTGAGGACCGCCGCGGCGCGCCGTGCGATATAAAAGCAGTTTCTTTACAGTCAAATTTAAAAGGATGTGTTATGACTCATAACTTATGAGTAGGGATGGGCTTTTAGTTATTTTACCTTTTTTCAACCGATGTAACTATTTGAAAACCAATAATGCCAAAATGTGTTTTAAAAGATTTTCTATTATATGAACCTAACTTGTTTTTACCTTTTTTACCTTTTTTGGATGTTTATGCTTTAAACTACCTTTTTTATACTTTTGTTACCTATTTTTTAAACTTGTTTTCACCTTTTTTACCTTTTTTGTAAGTTTTTGCTTTAAACTACCTTTTTATACTTTTGTTACATATTTTTTAATTTGTCAGTTTATTTGTTATCTATTATTACGTATTTTTACTTATTTTATTTTTTTGTGTTCTTTTTAAATTTTGCCCCAATATTTTATCCAGGGCGTGCAACTCAACGGTATAAAATTTTTTCTTATGGTCACAGACTGTAACAGTAACTTTTTTTACAGTTGCGTTCTTTGTAGTGAGCTTATTGTCATAGAACTTCTGTGTAGTGAGTGTCACTCAGTGAAACACAGTTTATTGCATGGAAATAGTTTATTGTGGGTATATTCTGTATTTGGGTATGCGGCTAAACAAAATTATAAACGAAACGTGAACTTTTAATGTTTTTTTTTTTACCTAAAATGCTGTTTTTTTAGTACCTTTTAGTTACCTATTTTTCAGTTTTTAGTACCTAAATATCCCATCCCTAGTTATGAGTACTCCACCCAAAACTTGTAATACCATATCGGCAAATACAGGTGTACCGCCGGCAAAATAAAAAGGTCAGTACAAAAGTGAATATTAACCTTTTAAAGAATGGCGTGAAGAAACTTTTTAATAATTTTCTATTTTTGGACGGGCATAATATTTTGATGATTGTATGACATTAACTAAATGTCAACTAACCTAAAGCAAACTTCAGCCTGTGACTAAAAACTTGTTACTAACTTCAACCCGTGACTAAAACGCCATAATCACAGCCTGTCAATATGTATTTAAAAGATCATTTAGTGTTATGGAAATATGTACGATAATGGGCGTTTTAAAGGTGGGGGTAAAAAAAATATATTAATACCATAATTTAAAAATCCACTGATGTAAAAAGCACCTTTCAATAAATACAATAGGGGCATCTAAGACCACCTTTTAAAAGTATTTTCAAGCAATACAAAATGAGAAAAATACTAAATTAAAATATTTAAAACACAAAGCTCCAAGCTGTACGGTTATGCCAACTCTTTTGGGGTGAGAATTTGTGAGACGGATCACATTTTTTTCGACATTGATTACAGAAAACCATTATTGGTTTTTCTAGTATTTAATGATGTTTTAATTTTTTATAAAAGTAATAAACACAATTTTTTAATGGCATTTTAAAAATGAAAAGTTAAAATATGTTAATAATAACAAAGTTATGACAAAAACTGTCAGAAAATACATCCGTCAACCATATTAACTGTAATCGCTGTAGATGCGTTATACATATATTGTGTTTTTATGGTAACCGTTTTTAGATGTTTAAAAATACACAGCGTTGCCAAGTTTAGCCTTTTTATGCTTAAAATGGTGCGCCATTTTTCATAAACCCTGTATAAACCAAATACAATCAATTTAGAACTATTGCATTATAAAATAAAAAGGCAACCCACACTTGGCTATGTTTCAGAAAGTAACTTGAGTAAACTATCTACTCCCGAAAAGATTTTGCAAGCTAACTTCTTATCATCAGTGGGCACGTAGGAATAATATTGAGGAGTATTTTGAATCGTTCGTGCATGGTTAAATCGATTTTTCAACAATTTTTCATGACTTTCATAAATAATTTCTGCGCAGATATCAAAATGTGCACCCATTGAAACAAATAAGCAAAATAAGCCTCACTTTTTAAATGTGATGTAGGAAATAAATGCCATTTAGCTTGCACATTAAGAAAATTTAATTTTTTTTATTGACCATTAAAAAAATTCATCAATTTTTTTACATTATGTATCTTCCACGTAATTTTTTTTTAAATAAGCGATCAATTTCGTGTTAAATAAATATACCATTATATATTTGTTATGTTTTGAAATAATTACTAAATTGTCAATATTATTCTTAAGTGCCCATTAACATTTAATATTATAATAGGAAATTATAAATTTATTGTATTTTGTATATAATTTTATAAATGTTATAAAAATCAGTTTTGTTTGTTAACTTTATTTTGTAAAATTTTAACATTATTTTTTGTAGTAGGTATGTGTTAATTTTTTTGTTTAAATTGATTAATAAAGCAACATTTCTTACCAAAATTCTTTTTATTCCCAATTTCCAACAAATACAAAAAGGGTTTGTAAAAATAGGGTCCTTTTTGAAAATTAAAGAGTTATGGTTGAATTATTGACAGAATTTTGTTAATAAATCTACAAAATGTTTATTATAATTTCAAACTACTTATTCAATTAGTTAACATATTAAAGTTGGTTGTAAACTTAACATAAAGTTAGGTGGACCTGGATTATGATAAAACGTATTTGTACGTATGTAGGTATATTGCAATTTGTATTTGAATGTTTTACGTACTTAAAATGTGAAACAATAAATAAAACGGGCATTTATTTAATCATAATTTCCCTGGTAAGGATTTTAAACACATACCCATATATTTAAAGATAATATTTTAAATTTATTATATTCTGTGGTTTTAGGATAACATATATATATATATATTACTTTCCTTGTTTAGGTAGACAAATCCTTAAATTCCATTCCATTTTTGGAAAGTTAAACCTGCAAAACTGATGACCTACATATTTTGTTATCATTATACTTTAATTAATGTATTTAATTTTTATATTCCTCCATACACTACAGCCACTGATTTGGAACAGTTTTTTGACATTTTGGTTATGAAACATTATTATATTTGGTGGTTTCAATGTCCCAAATTTCTCTTTTGACGATGTTACTGACAGTAAATCACATTATGTACATAACTTTTTAAATTTTAGTGACCTTATTCAATATAATGCTATTTTCAACAGTGACTCTAAGCTTTTAGATTTAGTGTTGGGAAATGTAGATTGTACTGTGTCACACAATAATAATCCATTTGTTAAAGAAGATCGTTACCACCCAGCTTTAGAAGTTGATGTACTTTTGCATTTTGAAAAATATTATAATTTTCCTGTTCACAATACACAGAATTCGAAGCAATATAATTTCAAAAAAGCCAACTTTCCTTTATTATACGAGTATGAGTCACTGCAACAAATTGATTGGAACTTCTTAAATAATGCTTCTGATATCAACATTGCCTGTAAAATGTTTTATGACAAGCTTTATTCAACTTTTGATATATTTGTGCCTACATACACACATCAAAAATATTCCTTTAGGTATCCTTCCTGGTATTTACCCAATATTATAGCTAATATTAAGTTAAAATATAAATATTTTAAATTATACAAAAAATTTAACAATACTTTTTATTATGATCAATTTAAACAAGTTAGATCTAAAGTTTAAGCTTTAAGCTTTAAGCTTTACACTACAGCCACTGATTTGGAACAGTTTTTTGACATTTTTGGTCACCTCATTGTAGATATGAAACACATTATTATATTTGGTGATTTCAATGTCCCAAATTTCTCTTCTGACGATGTTACTGACAGTAAATCACATTATGTACATAACTTTTTAAATTTTAGTGACCTTATTCAATATAATGCTATTTTCAACAGTGACTCTAAGCTTTTAGATTTAGTGTTGGGAAATGTAGATTGTACTGTGTCACACAATAATAATCCATTTGTTAAAGAAGATCGTTACCACCCAGCTTTAGAAGTTGATGTACTGTTGCATTTTGAAAAATATTATAATTTTCCTGTTAACAATACACAGAATTCGAAGCAATATAATTTCAAAAAAGCCAACTTTCCTTTATTATATGAGTCACTGCAACAAATTGATTGGAACTTCTTAAATAATGCTTCTGATATCAACATTGCCTGTAAAATGTTTTATGACAAGCTTTATTCAACTTTTGATATATTTGTGCCTACATACACACATCAAAAATATTCCTTCCTGGTATTCACCCAATATTATAGCTAATATTAAGTTAAAATATAAATATTTTAAATTATACAAAAAATTTAACAATACTTTTTATTATGATCAATTTAAACAAGTTAAATCTAAAGTTTAAGCTGACATATAGCCTAAAATTTTTATTTAACTGAATTACAAGGCAAAGTTAAAACTGATTCCAAAAATTTTTAGAGGTATATAAATAATAAACGTACTCAAACTAGAATACCAGGGAAGATGCATTTTGGCGAAAACACCTTTGATTCTCCGCTCTCAATTGTGAATGGCTTTTCCTCATATTTTTCTTCTGTTTTTACAAGCGATGATTCAACTGATTCTAAATCAGCTTCTAACATAAATTGTAATTTCCCAGTAATTAACAGTCTCACTGAAGCTGAGGTAATTAGGGCAGTTAAGAGATTGGGTGATAAGATGACCTCCGGACATGACCAGATACCAAACTTCCTGGTTAAGGATTGTGCTCACGTATTGCCTCAACCTCTGGTATATATTTTTAATATAGCTCTTAAATATTCCACTTTTCCAGAAATTTGGAAAATCGCTCGTGTCTGTCCAGTTCTTAAAGGCGGTGATGCGTCCAATATGTCGAACTATCGCCCCATCTCGATACTGTCTAACTTGGTCTTTGAGATGGCCCTGTACTCCACCATTTATCCCTTTATTCGTAATCAACTATCACCGCATCAGCATGGATTTATGGCTGGTCGCTCCACAACTACTAATCTTGTTTATTTTACCCAATATGTTTCCAAAGCACTTGACCACCGATCACAAGTTGATGTGGTGTACACGGATTTCTCGAAGGCCTTTGACAGGATTAGTCATTCGCTTATTGTGAGCAAACTTAATACTATTGGCTTTGACAATTCATTAACTCAGTTCTTTGCTTCTTATCTCACTAATAGAACTCAAATTGTCTCTTATAATGGTTTTAACTCATTGCCATTTATTTGTAAATCTGGAGTCCCGCAAGGCTCAAATTTAGGCCCTCTGCTTTTTCTCATTTTTATTAATGATATTGTTCAAGACCTTGACTGTAAAAAACTTATGTTCGCAGATGACTTAAAAATATTTCTTAGAGTAGATGGTGCTGAGAGCTGTAGGATGATTCAAAATAATCTAAACAAAATTAACCAATGGTGTCATGCCAATAAATTGTATATGAATGCCTGTAAAGTTATGTCATATTACAAAGGCCATAATCCGTTAACATTTAATTATATGTTTAATAACTCTTTACTAGAACGTTCTGATACTGTCAAAGATCTGGGTGTTTTATTTGATTATAAATTAACTTTTGATAGGCATATAAGTAATATAACTGGTTCTTCCCTAAAAATGTTGGGATTTATTATAAGGAATTCTGATACATTCAATAATATAAACGCATTAAAAAAATTGTATTATTCGTTTGTTCGTTCAAGGCTCGAATATTGCAGCTTGATTTGGTACCCAATTTACACAACCTACAAAGTTTTGTTGGAAAATATTCAAAGACGATTCCTGAAATTTGTAAACTTTAGAATTCATGGTTTTTATCAGATATCATCCTCAGGCTGAATTACTTCGGGCCTTTTCAATGGACTCACTTGAATTGCGTAGAGTTTAGCATAAAATTTGTGTATGACTTGTTTCATAATAATATCGACTGTATGTTGTTATTATCTATGTTTAATCTGTATATTCCGTGTTTAAACTATAGGACTAAATTAACTTTAAGGAAGATAATGCCCGTACTAATGTTTTGTTGAAATCTCCAGTGCAAGTCATGATGAAAAATATTAACGAAATATCTTCAAAAATTGACATTAATAGTTCTTCGCTAACTTTCTTATTAAAAGAAGCTGATTTATTTTACAAAAATATCATTAATGTGTAAATGTTGTTTTATTTTATGTACATATAAACCTATTGTATATTGTATAATTTTGTCCTTTATATAATTTTGGATGTAAATCTGTTGGGCAATAAAGTATTATTATTATTATTATGCGTCCCTAGCCAAAAATTTAAGAAAACAAAGAAATAAAATAGAAAGATAAACAAATTCTAAAAAAACTTGAAACAACCTTTCATTCCACTCTAAAATATCACAAATTTAAAACATTTAGCCATCTTTGGCCAACGTAGAACTTCTTTACGAACACTCAGTCTCCCTTGGGATCCCGAGTACTCCCACGTTAGGTGGTACAAAGCCCTTCAATGCGGTTTGCCTACGCAATTGTGCCCTAAATGGTTTTACTTCCGTAGCTTCGTTGCTTCTATGCCGGTGAAAGTGATTCGATGTATTCTGGTTTTCCCCAAGTATGTCCCTTTTAAGGGGTTAAGCGCCTCACAGAGACACATAATGTGTAAAGGTGTTTCGTCCTCTTTTTCACATCCTCTGCAAAATGTGTCATTTGCCATTTCCATTATGTAAGGGTATTTTTGGAAGCATGGGGTGTTAGAATACCTTTTGCTTTCCTTAGTTGAGTCCTGGTGTATGCTTTTCTGCAAATGGATAATCTAAAATTGTTTTTAAATGCTTCAGACCACAAAGACTTTCCCGGTATAGTTTGTGTTGTATTTCAAAAACGTGCTTATGGCGCCAGAACCCACATGTGGCACCGGTAGAGAATCGTCCAGAAATAATGTTATTGACTGAATTGAACTACACTAGCCATATAATATATTTTTGTACTCACCTTTAAAACGCCCACTATAATAAGTGACCTTTTAAATACACATTGACAAGTTGTGGGTTTATAGCGTTTTAGTCACGAGGTAAAGTTAGTTGAAATTTCACAGTCAAGTAATACAATTGTTAAAATAAATAAAAGTGCCCTTCTTGTAAAATATTACTAAATGTAAAAATTATTTTATTATCTCAATGCAAAAATACAAAACTATTAAATAATTTCTTAGCGACAATATTTGAAATGTTTATATGAACATTGTACTGACCTTTTAATTTCGCCGGCAGTAAACTAGATTTAACATAATTTCGGGTAAAGACTCCCTTTACTTTCACCCTAAAAAACTGCGGATTTCTTCTTCTTTATTGGTGGCCAAAAGCTTATCGGATTTAAACGGTCCATTTCCAAGGGATTAATTCCGATTTACACATACAAATTCGACATTTTCAACAGCGTGCCGGTAATACAGATTTCCAAGTTGGTTACTCTTTTGTTTTATTGATGTCGCTCTATAAAAATATTTAATTTAAATCATTTTTAGTTAATAATATGTATTTGTCGCAACTTGATTCATTATTATTATTAGCAATTATTTATTATAATTAAAAAGGACGTAAGTAAATTGTGGTAAACCATTTTGGAAAAATATTAAATTCTTCAATTAAGCTATAATTTAAAATATTATTTAATAAGAATTGTTAATAACAACCTAATTTTAATAACTTAATTACTAATTGTATTTCTATAGCTTTGTTTTATTATTAAACTAATAAATACGTGTATTTTTATTTTGAATATTCTTTGGTAAGGCAACAGTTACACACCTAGTTTTACCAATTCAATAAATAGCACTTAAAACTTTAATAAATCGATGTCCGGTAAATAAATATTACCATTCACAAGCCGCAATTGGTATTCAGAGCCGAGAAATTGCTAATATTGAAATGCAGAAAGAGAAAATAAAGCCATAATATCGCAATAAATCGAATAACTTTCAATATAACCATACTTTACATAAAGTTATGGCTGATTTGCGCAACACATAGACGGTTTTATTATTTCGCGAAATCCAAGTGCAAAATAATTTACGGCACCCATTCAATGGCTCAAGACGAAGGCATTTAAGTTAATTTATTATTCCTGTCAGGTGCCTAGGGATGCCAACTTAACGTTAAAGACGCTTCCGAATTGAAATACCTGACTCAAGATTTAATAACTATGTAAAAATAACCTATTTACTTTGGTAAAATGCCGTTTTTCTTCAATAAATGTCAAACTTTACCATGCTATTTTTTCTCATACCTTTACTATACAGGGTGATACGAAATAAAATTTAATTTTAAACACAAAATCAACAATATTTTTGTTACTTAAACTATTCAACAACTTATTCTCTAAAAATGAATTAGTCAAAAATGACTAATTTAATAATTATTAGTGGCTGCTTTTTCACTTATACCATGGTTAACCATGGAATACCATGTTAATTGTCCCCTGTATCCGAAAATACCGTCAAAAATTATGATAGTGGAGCAATTTTTGAGATATAGTCAATTCCAAATTAAATGCAAA